GGAGGAAGAAGAGAAGGAGGAAGGTGCAGCGACTCTGAGCTCCTACTACTCTCAATCCAAATATGCCCGTTCTATAAAAGACAACGATGATGAGGACAAGTCTTATGAGACCGCATCCTAGTCTCACCCCCCCAGTCCACCAGTCCACCAGGTTAGGTTGTCTTGCCTGCAGAGCTGGACCCATATGAATCATGGAGCACAGAGCGGTTCTGACCCAGCTGCCTGCTTTAAGAACCTGAGCTGGTCACGATAACTCTTAATCCCACATGAAACAGAACCATAATCTGTCCACTCCACAAGCAGCACGACTTTCTAATGAACTCTTTTATTCTGTTAAATGTTCAAAGAAGCACCAGCCTGTTCTTCCTGCTTGTTTTTGGACCATGTGGGCTCCTGTACAGCTGTGCTGCTGCACAATTAATTTAAATGCTCTTTATCCCTTGCTTTGTTTTTCACCTGAAGTTTGTATTAGTCGTCTGCTGCAATCTGAAACCAAACCAACCTGAACTTTGTGCACACCGTGGAAAAAACTCATTCTATTTCATTTGAACAGGATTTTAAGTTTTTCCAGAACTTCTTTGCTGATCAAAGAACAACGTTTTTATTTGTTTGCATGTCCTTCACATGTTATCTCTGTTTTATCATCTTTGCACTTCCTGAAGAAACCTACTTTATGTTTCAGCAGCTTTTGTTTCTTTCCACAACCAGTGAACAAATGTTTCCTTAAACCGCGTTAAAGGCAGAAAATGTGCTCAAGAGTTTGACGATCGACCACGTCTTGGTTTTTCCACTTGGCACAGGTCCATGAAGGATTGTGACAAAAACAGCTTTAACAGGATTCAATGAAACTTGCTCTTTTTGCTTACAGAAGCAAACTGAGACAAAAGTTGAGTCAGTCCGGGGGTGGTGTGTGTGTGTGTGTGGGGGGGGGGGGGGGGGCACAAAAACTCAGTCCAAACGTTGTAAAAATGGAGCTCTGTCTGAAAATGGTTGGAACCTGTAACATGTCAATTAAAAACTACAAATCTCACAAACTGATATATGATTCTGTGGAACACAGTAAACATGTCAGAAGAGCGTACCATTCTTTATTTTTTATTTGATGGCAGCAACACATTTAGAAGAACTGAGGCAGGAGGAACGAGGACAGCTGGAGAAGTTTTTTTAATTTAAATTAATTATCAACAGATCAGTAAGACAACTGGATGCAAAAAGAATGTTATGGAGAGGGGGGCGTAATCTTGTCAGAATTAAAAACCAATAACACACAAAGGCAAAAAGAAAAGTTCAAATCAAACAACAAAAGGCAGAAGTCGAGGTTTAACATCTACCACCAGTTTGTAACCGAGTCAGGAGCCGCAGAACTAATTTGTTTGACCACTTTAAGACGCAAACAGAAGACTGTTCGAACCCAGACTTTGTCTTCATCAGTTTTAATGAACACAAACCCACCTGAAACAGCTGGAGAAACGGTTGGTGTTGGCAGTGCACCTCAGGGATGTGTTCTTGGTCCTCAACTTTTTCCTTAGCTTACATGACTGTCCTGCTAAATTCAGCACAATCTAGTTCATTAAATTCACAGATGAGCCAACAGGGATGACACTCTTCAGATGTTTGCTTTGACAGCAGCAGTGATTGACAGGGAGACCCTGCAGTGTGTGCAGACTAGTGCAGAAAATCTCTGAGGTCTCACTCCGCTGCTTGAAGTCTATTCTCATGGAGAGATGCAAGAAAAACATCCTCAGTACTTCATTGTATAACTAGGCCATGCTTTGGAGCTCACCACAGTATTCATAACCAGAATTGACACTCAGACACAAAAGACCGAATGTTTCTCCCAAGGACAAAAGTTTGGAAAATATTCTGGGTGAGTTACTGAAAAATTATGTAAAATAAATGGTCAGAGTCTACAATATTCACAAGAACCTGTGTGATCAGCTATAAATGGTGAAATTTAAGGATTATACAGTACAAAGACTAACATAACATAT